GTATGAACTGTCCAAGAAGGACAGGCAAGGCAGAAGAGTTGCTTCTTAAGTTAAAAAGCTGTATGGTTGCTCAGAGCTCCAGTATGAAACTGGCAATAGGCCTGTTGAAAGTCCCTGGGTTCGGGTCGGGGAGAGAAACAAGGGTAATGTTGTGGGTGTCTGCTATAGCCCACCAAACCAGGAGGGTGAGGTGAATGAGGTATTCTTCAAATAGCTAGTAGATGGCAATCTGGACAGCAGCAGCTATGAAAGATTGAGTTCAGGATCCTGAAGAAAGAAGAATAGCAGAATAAGAACCCTGGACTTCAGAAAAGCAGACTTTGATGCATTTAGGGAACTGATAGGCAAGGTCACCTGGAAGGCCAGTCTGAGGGGGAAAGGAGTCCAGGAGACCTAGTTTTTATTTTAAAGAGACCTTACTTGGGGTACAGGAACAAACTATTCTGACATGCAGGAAGATTAGGAAGGATAGCAGAAGATCAGCTTGGCTTTACCAGGAACATTTTAGTGAGCTAAAACACAAAAAGGAAGCTCTCAGCTTACCCTTGTAAATGATTGTTTGGGCATGCAGGGGTGAAATCAAGAAGGCCAAAGTACAATTCAAGTTGCAGCTAGCAAGGGATGTAAAGGTTAATGAGAAGGGTTTCTACAATTGTCAGTAACAAGAAGATTGGCAAAGTGTGGGTCCCTTACTAAATGGGGAAGGCAATCTAGAGATGGGGTGTGGAAATGCTGATGTACCTTTTTTACCTTGATCCTTGCAGGTAAGGTCAGCTTCCAGGCCATGGCACCTGGCAGCACAGTTTGGGGAGGAGGTGAGCAGCCAACAGTGATAAAAGAACAAATTGGGGACCATTTAGAAAAGCTGGAAATAAAGAAGTCCATGGGACTGGATGTGATACACCCAAAGGTGCTGAGGGGGCTGGCTATTGTGATTGCAGAATCACTGCTCATTATCTCTGAAAACTTTATGGAAATCAGGAGATGTCCTGGATGGTTGGAAAAGGGCAGATATAGTGCTCATCTTTAAAGGGAAGGAGAAGGATCCAGGGCACTACTGAGCAATCGGCCTTATCTCAGTGCCTAGAAAAATGTATGGAGTAGGTCTTCAAAGAATCCATTTCTAAGCACTTGGAGAAGGTGATTTAGGAACAGTCAGCATGGGTTCATCAAGGGCAAGTCATGCCTGATCAACCTGATTGCCTTCTATGATGAGGTGACTGACTCGGGATGTGGGGCAAGCAGTGGACACTATTACACTTTGACTTTAGCAAGGCTTGATATGGTTTCCCATGATGCTTTTTCAAGCCTGCTAAGAAAGTATGGATTGCATGAACGCACTCGAAGGTGAATAGAAAACTAGCTGGATCATCAGGCTGAAGGGTAGTGAACTTTGGCTTGCTGTCTAGTTGGCAACTGGCTTCAAATAGAGTGCCCCAAGGGTTGGTCCTGGTGCTGGTTTTGTTCAGTAGCTTCATCAGTGGGATGCAGTGCACCCTTGGCAAGTTTTCAGATGGACACCAAGTGGGATGGGAGTAGTAGGTAGAGTGGAGATTAGGTCTTAAGATTCAGAGAGACCTATCCAAACTGGAGGATTGGACACACAAAACTGAGGCTCAGTAAGGGCAAGTAAAAAGTCCTGCACTTGGAATAGAACAGTCCCATGCACCAGTACAGACTGGCTAAGCAGTAGCTGTGCAGAAAAGGACTTAGAAGTTGTGGTGGACAGTAAGCAGTGTGGCAGAATGCCATTTCTGTCTCTTCTCCAAACTCTATCTGACAGTTCGTTTACCATGGTCACTGCAGGCGCTTCTGGCCTCATCAGCTTGAGGTAACCCTGAGTTGGATATGTTCTAGAGTGGGGGGGGGGG